GAGAGAGAGAGAGAGAGAGAGAGAGAGAGAGAGAGAGAGAGAGAGAGCTTTGCTGGAGGTTTCTGCGGGGAGAAGGATCCGTAGCCAGACAGGCGACAGTCTGCGCCGTCTTTGGCCCTCGAGGCAGAGGACGGGCGAGAGCCAATGAGAACGAAACATCCACACACCCCCCCTCCTCCCTCTCTGTCCTGCCCGGCTCGGCTCGGCTCGGCGCGCCCTGTAATTAGGAGCTCTAGTTGGGTTGGGCGCCGCCACGGTGGACAGCCCGGGCTGCTGCGTCAAGGGGAGTTTGGGAAACGCCAGCTCCGGACTGAGAGGACATCTGAGCGCTCCTTTATTTAAGAGAGCGACAACTCACGCGCATTTATAATAAAATAAAATAAATAAATAAAAATGAACGGGCAATCCTCACCTGTCTTCGAGGAGAAGAAGCCGTCCCTCCCCATCATGGCTGGGAGCTCAATCTCGGCCACCAAGGATTCCCCGACCCTGCCGGAGTCCTCATCCACGGACATGGGCTTCTACAGCGGGCAAAGCGTGCTCCACGGCGCGCAGGATTTCTACCCAGCGCAGCAGCAGCAGCAGCCGTACCCGGCGCAACACGTGAACCCGTACGCGTACCACCACCACCACCACCACTACAACTTACACGGGGTGGCTGCCGGCGGCGCCTACCCGGTCGGCAAGGCAGAATACCCGTACCTCCATTCGGCGTACAGAGAGCACGGCGCGTTCAGCAGGGAGGCGCAGGCAGCGCTGCAGGACGGTGAGTTAAAAACAAACAACAAACCAAACGGATCGCTGTGTTGGCTGTTAACGCCGGGTCGATTCAAAGAACACCATCTCCATCTTTGTCCAAAACACCTCCCCCCCCCCCCCCCCTGAGGCTGATGCATGGCAAGAGCTCATGTCTAGCCAACATAAACCCAATAATTACGCACGAGTATTTACGCACAGAGAAAAGGTTTCCACTGTGTCTTAAACCATCTTCATTGCTTTTTATATATATTTTTGGAGCATTGGGAATATGCTGTCTTAATATTGAGCCTCTAGATCTCCATAAAATGATCAGTGGAGTCAGAGTTACAGTGTGCTTCTGTTATGTAAATATGGGAGACCGGGGACATACACAATGTCAGTGTTTTTCTTTGGAAAAAAATACATATATGTCACATATCTTATAAGTTGTATTTTTTCAGAACTATGTCAAATCATTTCAAAATAAATGGTACTTAGGGTTCCACAAACACTACATCTGTGGGTATTAGATGTAGTTCTTACTGCCACCAGGTTCAAAGTAGAGCCTTTATTTTCATTAGGCTGGAGGAAGAACTCATACATTAAGAGGAGCAGCTTCAGGTTTTATTTACCCTGGATGGTTCCCCCTTACACCTCGCCATTGCACTCAAGTTTGCCATGTATGTATGTATATATATATATATATATATATATATACACATACATACACACATACACATACATACACACACACACACACATACACAGTGGGTACGGAAAGTATTCAGACCCCTTGAAATGTTTCACTCT